ATTCATTTTTTATTTTAATTAACTTGTACTAAGTTGTATTAAGTGTTATTATAGGTGTTGTCTGTACCGAAGTTAAACTTTAAATGACAAAATTTCCCCGGGGTCAGTTTGATCCGCGTTTCGCGTATGGTACGCATACATGTGAATACAACAGAGTGTCGCGTTTTGATACGCGTCGTATGCGCGTTTCATCAGCGCGCGTACGATACGCGTCCATGTGAAACGGGCCTTAAGTAATTGAGACCGATACCGATACAGGGCAATATGAAACATAAAAACCAAAAATACATAACAAATACGTATATATATATATATATAATTAATAATTATTATGTAAATAAAATAAATTTTTTATAAAGTAAGAAAAAAACAATAATAATATTATCAAGCAATCATATAAAGACTATTTAATCGGTTCTGTCGTACGTTTTCGACAAATTGTTCAGCCCTTAAACTCAATTTTTTAGTTGGTAATTTATAACGTATAAATGATCTAACATTTCTTTGGTACATGAAAATAGCAAACATAAAATCCCATGCAGTAAATTCTGGCCATAAGACGGTTGTAAAATAAATGTAACTGTAAGAACACTGAAAAAATATTTTAAAATCATGTTAAAAGAGCATTTAAAAAAAACATATTTTCAAGAACTATAAATTTACCTGCCATAACATGAAATCACCCAGTCTAGTCTCTTCAGATATGCGTATTAATAAATCAGGTGGTGGGGACGGATAGGTGTACATACAACTATCTAAAAGTTCAACTGATAAATCTGATTCCTCCAAATCATTATTTTTAATACCGTTAGATATTTGATTGAATGCATTCGACAATTCATCATGTCCTGAAAATAATTTAAATAATAGGTACTTACTTAGATATTATAAATTAGGCAAAATATCTAATATATTTTATTTTATCCAATTATGAATAAGGTAAGTGTTTGCTTTAGAATTCAAATGCAATTATTTCAACTCACCAGTATAAAATAACGCAATATTTAATAATGTCTTATTGTTTTGTTTTGTAATACGCATTGATTTTGTGAATAACTTAACATATTCATCTGGTAATTTGTTTATGTTACCAAAAAAATTAATGCATATACCTAGCTCATTCAATCTATCTCTAAAACAAAATTAGAATAAATTTAATATAACGTATAATATTTACGTAAGCAAACAACAATATTCAAATCAATAAACATAAATTATTATAATACAGGTATATTGTAAGGTGACTTAGGTATAACTGTATACAAGTATCCACAAATATTTTTAATTATTTCATCATAATATATTATAATAATAAGTATATATAAATTAAATGTAGTCTGTTCACCTCACGATTAGTGATTACACATCAATCCAACGTCTTTTTCCCTTGGAAAGTCTCGCCGATCGTCGTCACTCAGCAAATATATTACCCTTTCTATCTAACTATTCTAACCTACTTTCCTCTAAAATTGACAGCCCTGGATCACTATCTCGTGATTCGTTCAATGTCTATTGCCGCAGTGCACGATCATCTGTTTCATTCTATTTTTCACTCTTATAATCAAACTACTATCGCAACTTTCCGATCATCTGTAGCATAAATCTCATTGCCAATGGCCAATATCGACCCTTCTTTCTCCCCCTAAAATTTGAACTTATTCTATTCATAATTCATATCTAAAGGTTTCTTAACACACTGTTAAATAAATTAAATTAAATAATATTATTGATGTACCCCTTACTATACAAAATTCTATTTTTTTGTACAATAGGAGCATTTAGCTATAAAGCATGGGCATAAATTGGGTAATTTTTATGGGGAGGGGGGCTCCAAATTTCTAAAATATCTCCAACCCTCAAAATTAAAGAGTCACCTTGATTTTAATTTTACTCGAGAATTATAAGAAGATTAGATTCTATTATCGTGATGTATTTTTTGATAGCAAATGATAATGATTAACATTTTTTTAATTAATCCATTAATTTTTTTGCTATACTTAATCGTTTAAAATATACTTTTCTTGATAAACTAATTGTTACACTATCATTCTAAAAATGCCTTTTCGATAATATTTTTCTAATTAATTTATAAAATACCAATGTTACAGACACCCCCTCTCCCCAGTTTAAGCCAATGCTATAAAGAATAAATTTGGATTAAGGTTTCTAAATAAAATACTTATGCTCTATTGCCATTAAAAATGTTAAAGACTCGTGTATTCATGTAGGTACACATGTCTAATGTCATATTTACTTCAAGAATCATTCAAAACTAGGTAGGTATAACAACAGAAATAGGTACCTATTAGTTATTATACCTAATAACCAGAAATGTTGATTTGAGAATTAAACTAGACAGTTCTTAGTCAGGATACGCATACCGTCCTACCCACTGTGCCATACTGCCATCTGATGACATCTTAAATGTATTGTACATAGTACATAGGTACCAAATAATATTTGTATTTGGCTAAATGTATACACAGATACACAGTAAACCTACTTAGATATAAAGGTTATAATTTATAAAGGTATACATTTAATGATGCATCAATGTATTCTGCGCTTACATTTAAGTTGTAGATTAGGTACTCGATAGGCATACATAATCAATAATAGAATTTAATATTTTATCAGTGATCACTAAACTATATTACCTTTCTTCTAAAAATGTTTTCAATTCCTCAAACAATACATCGATTTCTTCTTGTGTTTGCTCGAAGTTATGTAAGCTGAATGCGTACATGGTAACCTCTTTTATACCTAAATGTAAGCACCATTGTAATGTTTCAACTAATTTGTCAAACCTATAAATAATACATATATAATAATATGGAAAATACATCATATACATACAAGTATACTATATAGGTAGTTCGTTTTAATTACAACTTGCATCAATCACGAAAGCGCTGAATTACATACATTTAAAAAAATACAACTAGATTTTTGTTTAATTATTTTTATTTATTAATGCATTAAAAACATTTTTAGAGGCATTTCTTATACTTAGGACATTTAAAACCACGCCCCCGTAAATCCAGAATAATATGCTAGTATTGTATGATATCCCTATATTTAAATTTCTACACATCCAAAACTTATTAAACGCACCATACCTATTCAACTCATTCAAGTATTCATGGTTGGTGTTTACATAATTTAAATAAGCACATAGCAAATATAGCAAGTACAGATTGTAACCATAGTGTGTATAAAATATTATATAATAGAGATTATAGGTAGGTACATGGATTACCAAAATTAATATAATACATAAAGATACCCATCACCCATGCCATTTTAATGTTACGTTAAAGTGAATATACCTATCTAACTATAATGGCTATTAGCAGAAAAATGAATTTAAATAAAAACGACGGGATACCGATTTTTATGAAGTAAATCAGACACTACTCAAGTTGTAAGTATTTTAGATAAAGTTCTAACTCACCCTTTTGCATAGCTTTCTTGCACAGAAATACAACTTTTCTCGCTATAACTTCTATAGCCGTCCATAATAAACGCTACATGTTTCGGTATCTCTCCATACGTTAGCACTTGGGCGTAAAAACGCTGGGTCCATGTCATAGATATGTCACGTATCCAAGATTTATCTGGGTGTGTGAGACACAGAACATCTAAATCATTGTACCGATGTTACACAGTTACACGCAGACACGTATACAGGGAGGGGGTTCAAACAAATTGATTGATGAGGTATAAAATACAATTTTTTGTAATTTTTTTATGAACCCCCCCCCCTCCCCCCAACAATTAATTGAGCATTTGACCGTTTACATATATATATATGCTAATCTTAGTTTATATTTACTTGCCTTTCACATTTATAAATATATAATGAATTTAAAAATATTATTTTAATTGTACATTATAATAATTATTAATTAATAAAAGGTATATTGCTAATCATTAAAAGTGGTATTTTGGTATACACTACAGTTTAAAAATTTCACGTCATTCCAATGTATTTGTAAAATAACTGAGAATATCAAAACAATTAGGAATCAAATTTGAAAGTACAACAGTGCAATATAAATATACACAGTACATTGCATAAAACGAAACTGCTCCAATAAGTAAATAAAAATAACAAAAATAATTAAAATTACATATAATTAAAATGTTCTTACTTTTTACCAAATTATCCCAACTCCATTTATTTTTTGTAATAGATATCATCTCGCGGCCATATAATAAATGTTAAGCAACTATATTATAACAACTATAAAAGTTCAGTTATTATTATTTTATTTTTTCGTATTTTTGGTTAAAATGAATAAGATAATGTGTACATATTTAAGTCTTCAAATGTATCTATAGATCTATATAATACTGACTAATATAATGCAATAAAATGAAATATATTTTTAATGAAAATTAACAGAACTTTAAGTACCTATAAGTACTACACTGTACTAGTCTATTTACAGTGTAGTATATAAGTATATTATTCCATTAATGCACCTATACATTTTTATTCAACATCACGAACATCATTCATCACTCGTAAATATATACATAAATTATGTATAATATACATAAAGGTATAATACATATTAAATACAATTATATACTGTTATATTTTGACCCGCTAAGCAAAAGTTAAGTAAAAACTCATAAATTAGGTTTAAAAAAATGTAATTTAATAATTTGAATTGTATTTTACCTTTAGAAAGTTGTGGCCCTCTTAATTATTTTATTATGCAGAATAATATCCAACCCGATAGTTTTTTTTTTAGGAGGAACCCTAATACTCACTCAATGAGATAGGTATAAATATACAATGATATAAAAACTAAATAAGTAGTATTGTATTGCTTAATATATATTGTGTCATGAAAATAAGGTACTTTGTTGTGTTAGGTACCTACTTATATACAGAGTGATTCACCAAGCATACTCACCCCCATTTCTCTTCAAAATCCATTTTTGGAATTTTTAAATATACCTACTTATAAAGACCATATTTTCAAATTCTTGAGATTTTGAGGGCTATAACAATTTTTATGACTTCCTGTAGAGAAGACGAACTTCTGTTTTTCAAATGAAACCCTCTTTTCTGCTATAAATTATTTAGTAAACAATTTTTCTGAAAATGTCCACTTATCAAATTCAAAATTCGAACAAGTAGTTTTTGAGTTATTTAAGTTTGTGTACTAACTACTAAGGATAATAATAGTGGGCCTGGAAGGTTAAAAAAAACAAAAATAATACGAGTATCTATCAACATTTATAATTTTTAAAAAAATGGTCCAAGTTTAATAAATGCAATATAGATCCAATGTTACACCTGTTATATATTTACATATAATCATATTGAAGGACTATTATCCTTAGTATAAACAGTTAATAACTGAGAACCCAATCTAACCTTTGAATTATAGGCACCTACACATACTTTATTCTCACATCAACATTTTCAAAAAAATATCCACTACATAATTTACAATAAAAAGAGAGGTTTTCATTTGAAAATCAGAAGTTTGTCACACTGATACTTCTCAAGCAATACATAAAAATCTTAAGAATTTGTTAATATAGTCTTTATGTGTATTTTAAGTAAATTTTAACGCCAAAAATCAGAATTTAGATAAATTCATTTTAAAGGATAAATGGGTATTAACATGCTCGTGATGAATCACACTGTTTAATGTATACTAAAGAAATATACTAAATTTATTACAAATAATGAAAAATAAAATATCACTACTCTATCGTTTGGTTATCATAAAATACATAAATATTCGTATTTCACAACAATTAAAAAAAAAGATTCTAAAATGGCACATTCATGCCAAAATGTCAACAGGTGACAAGAACTTACCATAGTAAAATCCAAAATCGGCCATAATATTCCCATTTATAATAACTCGCGCTCCTTATTATTGGACAATATTTTATAGACTACTATATAATTTTACTATGTCCAGAGCACGGCAGAGCTACAGTTACATTATTATTTTTTTTTGTCACTTACTATACTTTACTATATTACTCTACTTTTCCTGTGGCCGCCAATAGCACAACACGATACTTTTAATGTAGGATATATGTATAGATACATAAGTCGTTATTTTGGAGCAACCTGTAGATGCAAACTTCTGTGGCTGTTTTTATAAAAATAATCACGAAATAAAATTGGTGAACATAAATCATAATATAGAATATAGATAGGTGCCTACTACGAAAAAGTCTTAATCGTCCCGTTTGTTCGTTTAACATATTCTGGTACCTACACCTTAAATATTTATATAAATACATTATAAATGTAAGATCTACTTTTTTTCCCAATCCTATAATTAATCTGTCTTTTGCAAACGTTTCTTCAATTCCGATAACACATTAGGTAGGTACCTACCTAAACCTAACCATTATTATCTAATATTTTTATTAGTTATTACATATTAGTATATTACTATCCAAGTTTCTGTTAGATTTTACTTCTATTATAAACCCCCTCCTCCAATACTTAAAAAAAAAAGTTTTCCCGGAACAGTATAATAATTAACCTTATCCTATAATATTATGCTGTATTTAATAAACAACTATATTATAATACCAAATCTTAATATCTCATGAGAGATTACCTATGTGTTTTAATTTCACAAGACCTTATCACTTTACCTATTATAATTTATAATTATATAAATCTATACTACCATAAAGCTTATTGTATATTGTATTTTATATTATGTATTTTTGTAAAATGGGCATGGTATGTACTTGCTGCCGTGTCTGGTAATGTGGAATCAACCGACAAAGTATTTATATAGTATTATATCTAAATACCTAATAGATTGTATAATAGACGATAGAGGTACCTAATACAATAATAGGTAGGTAGTATGCGAGTGGTGTGTTATGTTTTCTGTAATATTTTTTTGATATTGACACACAAACCTATACGACATACGCACATGAGCACATAAAATATGCAAATGAGCCTAATATATTAGGACTGTTCATCAATTATCATAAATCTGAATAATCTAAAATACGGCTTACGCACGTATATATAATTAGGTATTACCCACTTATATATATATATATATATGGACTGTATAGTATATACTATATACTACTAATGTTATTAAAAATATATTTTAACTATTCAAAACAGTATAAACAATGTAAAATATAAGCAATGAAGCAAAATTAATAAATTTAAAATGTTATAACATCAATCGTGGAAACGAACACGCGCACAAACCTGAGTATAGAGTGTATTTTGGTAACCGAGTTACGGAAATGGTTACTGTCACTATGTCTGAGCCGTCTGAGGTCAAAATCGTTTGATTCGACCAGACCACAAAGTGTATAATGGTTGGCTTTATCGTTCTATAACTTCTATAAGTTATTAGGGTTGCCAGATTTTAAAATGATCAAACCGGGACATCATCAAATCACCTTTTTTTTTTTAGTATATTTAGTATAATTATATGGATATATGAAAATAATAAATATCCGTTATTTTATTTAAAATTAATAAACCAATACAATTCTTTTTATTACCAGTATTTTTTTTTTTATTTCATTTACATTTTACATTTATTAGTTATAACTTATGACTTATAAGCTAATTTTGATATTTTTAAAAATATAACCGCACAAATACGTACAAGACCTGCAAGTCCAAAAAATACTGTGAAAATAAACCCCCGGCACGGCCCTAATTCTAACCTCAAAAAAAGCCTGGCCCGGTCCACACATTTTATCCTCAACCTCAAGCCCGACATATTTTTTTAACGCTAGTGCATACGGTTTTGTTAGAACAAACCCAGTCCAGTCTTAGGTTTTTTTTGTTTGACTGGTTTAAAAATGTTGTAAAATTTCCACATGAAATATTTTTATGATAACAATGATAATTGGCCTTATTTTTTAAATTATAAATTATAATTATTTATTGTCGAAGTAAAATCCTTAAAGAGCCCGGTCCAACCTTTGTTTTATTATTCGAAGTCTGGCCCAGCCCGGTCCGACAAATTATACAAAAAAAAAGCCCTGGCCCGGTCTGGAATTTAATCCCAAGACTTAAAAAGCCCGGTCCAACCCTTTATTCTATTTTGAAGAGCCGGCCCGGTCCAATGTCACTACGACCCGGCCCTTGCAGGTCTTTAATACATACAACATACGTAACGTCATACACTCACAATATTACAAACAAGACACTGACAATAATAGTATTTATAAAATATAATTTTATAAATAAACCTAATGGCTAATCGTATAGAGATAAAATGACAAATAAACCTGAAACCGCGTCGTGTCGATAAAATTTAGATAACATAATACGATAATCTGATGTAATGATATATGTACAATCATTGAACAATATTAAAAGTTAAAAATTAACAATATTAAAGTTATTTTCGTTCGGCTTCCATTAAACTAGAGACAAAATTAATGACCAGCCGGAACACCGGGGCACGCTGTTAAAAGTTTAAAACCGGGACGAATGGCATTATGGCAAGCCCATCCATAAGGAATAAGGATTATTTAAGTTATAAGATGATGTTATGCAATGTTTCAGTGTTCCGGGTGTCTTAATATTGCATTATTTGCATTATTATAAATCACAGGTGGACATTGTACAGCTGTCAGCTATAATGCTATATGATATACTATAAATTACTATTTTAAGGAGTTAATAAATTTCACCGAATCTAGTTCATCTTAAATTATATGATGAGAGCTAATTAAAATTACTGAAAGGCTGCGTCGGTGCTCGGGGAGGCGGTTAGGTTAGGGAGTCGGCCCCCAAAAATTGTTACACTTGTTTTTATCTATGAATTTTATTTCAAGTTTTGTACCTATAATTGTATAGTCTTAAAAATGTTATTATTATACCAATTAAAATTATAATTTACAATAGTTTTTAAATAGGTCTTGTTTTCAGAAATGCCATACGAGTAATAGTTTTAATTCCATACTCTGTTATTATACAGTTATTATCAATCGACAATCCGTTTTGATTGTTTTGATTAAATATTTTTGACTATTTAATTTAGAACTAATATTTGTATATGTATACATTACCTAGTTTAAGCACGTCTTGAAATTCAAATTAAGTAGGTACGGTACCTACCTCTATTTTATGAAATATATTAATATTAGAATTTAGGATACGATTGTAGAACTGTTGGTTGAAATGTACATGGAATGATTCGCAATTATTTGTTATTCTGCATACACTATCAATGAAAATAGACAACACAATGAGTGGAAATATAATTCTATATACAAAGACACGTGGTTCCATACCTACTTACATTATGTATAAGTTATGCGTGGATATTATAAATACCAAGGTATTATTTATATGTTTAATGTATATAGAACACCTTAAGCTATAATACCATAAAACAATAATTACATAAAAACAGAATTATGACTAGGCATAGTAATTTTCAAACGATAATTC